TTGTTCAGCTTCATCCGTTAACCAACAGACGCATGCGCATCTATGACTATAGATATTTGAGTTGTTACTTTCGCCCCGCGTTGCTTTTGACCCCGCTCTACCCTACGTACAATAAAGACTGATTTTCACGCAATAATTTACTCGCACGATGGGTAATTGGCACAAAGATATTCCGCGGTATACTTCATCGTTTTTTATTACGAAATGAACTTGTAAAACAGCTGCGATATGTATGTATCTCGAATTGATTGAAATAAGGTTAAATTTTGGATTAATGTAAAAATTATCGCGTGTAGAAAAATGTCCGAGATCCGTCGAGCCGCTCGGTGCCGTTGCACAAATGCAATTTATTCGGAAAGTTACGTGGAAAGCGACAGCGATTCGGACGAAGCTCCAGATACACGCGGAAGCGCTGCAGAAATGCAGGATGTAGATGCGAAAAGAAACTTGGCGGATTCTACCAGAATTGAATCCTCGGTGATATCCAGAGACCCCTCGCAAAAGTCCATCGCGGTTGAAGTACTGAAGAAGGTCGATGCCGATAGAGCGAGCAGGATCAGCATGCAAAATTTAAAGCTCTCTTTGTTATTTCCGGAGGCAAGCTTGCGCTCGTTAACAATGTCACTTGCAATTCCGTCTTCTTTTTCTTTTATTAGAAGAGGATAAAAATTTAAATATGATAAACGTTAGAAAATTTCCTTCCGGACAGATGTTCTGGGGACGCGGCTTTGAATCGGTTGAAGAGTTACCAATCGGTTCCTCGTTTGAGATAAAATTCGACGCAGCCGAGGAAGAATACGCTAGAAGCCTACGTTTCCCGCGGTTTACGAGACATAAAGTTATGACCCTGCTTTATCTATCTCTTTGTATCTATTCTCTGTTCATTGTAAAATAACGCATAATAGTAAAACATCAAAATTGTTACATCGTTCGACGCGCAAAATAAGGGAGATTCGAAAAACAAACGGCGAGTTTATAGCTTATAAAAAATGTCAGCTTTGTATACGAATTTTTGTATTACAGAGTTATAAGGAATACTGCGATACAGTCATGGCCGAGGACGCGCCTCAGAAGTTTATAAAACCTGGGAGCCACAAGGGCAAGGGCATCGCCGTATTCACCAGTGGTGGCGACTCTCAAGGTATTTCAGAGTAGTCGTATAAATTGCGTATTGCGCGTATTTTGCAGTAAACGCAATTAAATTCGATATTTCGTTTTTCAGGAATGAATGCCGCCGTACGAGCGGTCGTGAGGATGGGGATCTATCTCGGCTGCAGGGTGTACTTTATCAGGGAGGGCTACCAAGGCATGGTAGACGGCGGAAAAAATATCGAGGAAGCTACATGGTCGTCCGTATCTTGCATCATTCATAGGGTACGCGTTAAAGCAATCATTACTGCAATATTGCATAATCATTTGTTCGTATATTATTAACGTATAGTATCCTTTTTGTTTCTTCAGGGTGGCACAGTAATCGGCTCCGCTCGATGCCAAGAATTTAGGGAGCGTCCCGGTCGCCGGAAGGCCGCTAAGAACTTGGTTAGCCAAGGGATAACTAACTTAGTGGTTATAGGTGGAGACGGTTCTCTTACTGGCGCCAATCTTTTCAAGGAAGAGTGGCCTACGCTTCTGAAAGAGCTCGTCGAGTCTGGTAAATAGAGAGAACATTCAAAAAACCGTTGCTCGATCCCGACGATCTATCACGTGTAATCGAGACTAACGTATTACTTTTCATTAGGTGATATTACTGCCGAGCAGAGCGAGAAGTACAAGCAGTTGCACATTGCCGGTCTAGTAGGTTCCATTGATAATGATTTTTGCGGTACGGATATGACGATTGGTACCGATTCCGCGTTGCACCGTATCATTGAGAGTATCGATGCTATAGTTAGTACAGCTTACTCCCACCAAAGAACGTTTATAATGGAAGTGATGGGTCGTCATTGCGGGTAAGTGCTGACTATGTTATCGATTTTGTTACCGAGAAAATGCAGATTTATATCGGTATACGATTTTATTACATTGTCATTAGCTTCCGAATGTAGAAAAGTGTCACCCGCGGTTTGATTACAACACGATTTAGGACACGAGATTTAGCGTCTATTGTTATCGCGCCGAATCAATGTTGACTCTGGAACTTGAAACATAGATAAACGAGCGACTTTCGATTAGGTATCTGGCTATTGTGGGCGCTTTAGCTGCGGAGGCAGACTATGTTTTCTTCCCAGAATGTCCGCCTCCTGTCGACTGGCCTGAAAAATTATGTAAAAAGTTGGAGCAGGCACGTCTAAAAATATAGACTTTCTCAAATTTTATAGATTGCATTGCTAATTTTTTTTTTACTAACTTGACTAAGCGTGGGGAATGTGTTTTTTTGTATATGTCAGTTTTTTTGTTGCTGAATGTATTCTCATTTAATATTTGATCATACACGACATCCTGAATGTATATTTCTCTAAACAGTGACGTAAAGAGGAATGCGAACGAAAAATGTACTTACATTTCTCTCATCGTCGCGCATTAATCAACATAGAGTCAGATGTATAAATATAATAACATGTCCGATGGTACTGAAGATAATTAGATGACAGAGCCTTTCTCTCAGGTACCTGACATTAGCGTCAAGTTTGTCTACCGAAGCCACCTATTGCTTTATTCCTGAGTCTCCGACAAGTGGTGACTGGGTCGAGGAGCTATGCCAAGGTGTGCGACAGGCACGTTTCTCAACCAGTCGTTACTTTAAATTATTATTAGTTAACGTATCTGGAATAAGCAATTTAATCAGTAATTTAAAGATATACGAGAAAGTCAGAACGTGTTTGTGTATTTTGTATTTTTAAATGGTATAACTTCACGGAGATAATCAATTACAGCCAGATTTTGTACATGTAAATTTTTTTTTTCATTCATCCCGTTAGAGCACTTGCGCAAAAATTTATCACAGATATGTTAGTTTCTATCTACATTTTTCGATCAAGCATAGCCTTACAAATTCATAATCAAAACCTGATCATGATTGATTATAATGAGGCGCAACATTATTTTGCATAATATTTGTTAATATTGCATTGAAAGTAGAATTTTAGAGAGTTACAATATAACATTACAGTTATCTGGCTCTGGTGGCAGCTATATGTAGCGAGACTGATTATGTTTTCATCCCAGAATGGCCACCCGAGCAGGATTGGCCCAACAAGCTGTGCAAAAAATTGTTGCAGGTTCGATAATATTTTTTTTTAATTTTTTAAAGCAGGTATATTTATTTCTCCTGATTTATTCAACCTGCAAGATAAATAGCACAAATTGCTTCCTGCAATTCACGCTTTGTTCCTTTCATACCGCAAACTGTTAGAATTATTTTCATTGCTTATTTTGATTTTATTTTACTTTGGATGATGAAGCATTTGCGATATGCTTTAAAGGCACTTTTCTCTCCCAATATAGGGAAACAGTAACATTATTTAATAAAGTCAAATGCGCATGCTATACTAATTTATAACATTATATGTGTGTATGCAACGCTATTCTAACTTAAAAAAATATAACAATTCTAGAAAAAATGTAACATAAATCTGACATAATTCAAAGACTTACATTTTAAATATTTGTATTATCATCATTAATCTATGTAATCATTCAATGGATCATTATTATGCTATTGTCTTTAATTATCGTTACTTCTATATTCTTTTACAGCCTGCTTTTAGATCTATTCGAACAAAATTTAATTTTAGCACACGCAGAAGATTTTCATTATTATACAATTTTCCTTTCAGGAAAGACTCACTGGTCAACGGCTTAATATTATTATCGTGGCCGAGGGAGCTGTCGACAGAAACGGCGATCCAATCACCGCTGAAAAGGTGCGCAAAATCGTCGTAGACAAATTACAGCAGGATACAAGAATCACCGTTTTAGGTCATGTGCAAAGAGGTGGCAATCCTTCAGCGTTCGATAGAGTTTTGGTAAGATATGTCGGTTTAGGACTTTTAATATCGAGATATATAATAAGTTTATATATTATTTTTTAATATGTACATACTTGATATTTTTTAAATACTCATTTTTTAATGTAACTTAAAGCCCTCTCAATTAACATATTTATTTTTTCCTCATATACAATATTACAAAATATAATATATGTATGTCAATTATTTTGAGGAATAAACGTGCGTTACAGGGATGCCGGATGGGAGCCGAAGCGGTAATGGCTTTAATGGAGGCAACACCCGAAACAGGAGCCTGCGTTGTTACATTGGACGGTAACCAAGCTGTGAGATTACCACTTATGGAATGTGTTCGTCGTACGAAAGCCGTAGCGCAATCTATGGCCGATAAAAACTGGGATCTTGCTGTTCAGCTTCGAGGAAAGTGAGTGAATCGATAAAGTCGCTATACCAATACGCCAAATGTAAAGTACATTAATAAATGTATGCATCTGTTTATTTTTCTAGGGGCTTTGCACGTAACTTAGAAACGTACAAGATGCTGACTCGTTTGAAAGCGCCGGACCTAGATGATGCCAATAGGGTACAATCTTTTTCCGTTTACAACTAAGTTTAGTCTGACGACCCAAAAGCTCTGCTCTGTATCTGACGCGTTATTAATGTAGCATTAATATAAAGAAGTCGATAGGATGCACGGCAAGAATTTTGGGTCTCTAGCATATAAAATAATAATAAATAATGTATAGAGTACTATATATATATATATTATTTGATACTGCTTCAGGAAGTTAGTGGCCGCGCATTATCGAAGGTAAATCAGTTAAAAGCCTATAAGCATACGTTCTTTTATCAGATTTTGTACATAATGTCGATACGAACGCAATCCCCCCTCTAACGACAGTACATTTTTCCTCCCCTAGCAATACACTTTATGTGGACAAGTGAGTTAATCCTTTGGAGTAGAGAATGTGTGCCTTGTGTTAGAAATACATATCATTTATCGTACTTCACGATCACCTCTCCACAGGCAAACGGAACGACAGCATTGTGCGCTATTTAATATGCGATTTCATACATAAAATGCCGGTCTTTCAGCTTTCCGTGCACGTTGCATGATGCACCGTGTTGGCTTTCATTTTATAACCGGCGGTTTTTTTATAGGATCATTACACGCTGGCGGTGATGCATATAGGATCGCCGTCTTGCGGCATGAACGCGGCAGTTCGTTCCTTCGTGAGGAATTGTATCTATCGAGGCGATAAGGTATGTACAATACATATATCTAGACATTCTGAATGTCGTTCCGCGTGTTTTTGTTACGCTCAATTCTACGTCTCGACTTGCAGGTATACGGTATCTGCGATGGAGTGCTGGGCCTAACAGCTGGTAGACTGAAATTGATGGACTGGTCGTCCGTCACCGGCTGGGTCGCAGAGGGTGGCGCGAAATTGGGAACGAAGCGCGCACCGCCCCAGGAGGATCAGTTGCCCAAAATCGCTCATACGCTCAAAGAATTTGGAATACAGGCGTTGCTCATCATAGGTGGATTCGAGGTAACAAATCCGCCCGTACCTTGATTGACCGAAATTAATAAAACCGTTCAGAGATCAGTGTCGATAAAAGTGTATATTTTTATTCCCAGGGTTATCAGACCTGTCTCACATTTTTCAAGGCGAGGGACAAGTACGAAGAGTTCAGAATTCCTATCGCTATGATCCCCGCGACTATTAGCAACAATGTACCAGGCACCGAGTTTTCATTGGGCTGTGACACAGCTTCGAATGAAATAACGGAAGTGAGTTCTGTGATTCCTGTAGATTTTACTTGTGACTTTAGAGGATTTAATATCATACTAATACGTGTTATCTTGTTAGATCTGTGATCGCATTCGGCAATCGGCGCAAGGTACTAAACGTCGCGTGTTCATTATCGAGACGATGGGTGGTTTTTGTGGATATTTAGCGACCATCGCTGGTCTAGCCGGCGGTGCCGATGCGGCGTATATCTACGAGGAGAAATTCAATATCAAAGATTTGCATCAAGATGTGATCGCGATGGCAGCGAAGATGTCGGAAGGTGTCGAGAGGGGTCTTATTATCAGAAACGAGGATGCCAATGAGAATTACAATACAGAGTTTATGTACAGACTTTTCAGCGAAGAGGGAAAAGGTTTATTCAGTTGTAGACGGAACATACTCGGTACGTGTTTTCCATTCGCTGCTCTTTTAAGCGAACTTCTGGTTATTTCATTTGATATGCAATTTCGTCATTGCTGAATATTTTTCTATTTTAGGTCACATGCAACAAGGAGGCTCGCCGACGCCTTTCGACCGTAACTTGGGAACAAAGATGGGCTCTAAGGCGGTGGAATGGTTCAGTGATCAATTGAGAAAATGTACCAGCCCCGATGGCAAAACGATCACTACAGCAGCGGACAGTGCAGTGATGCTTGGTATTATCAGACGCCAATACAGATACACGCCATTCATGGAACTTATCGACGTTACCGACTTTGAGTGCGTATCTTATTGAACATTCTAACGACTCGTTTCAATTTCGCTTACGTGTAACGTAATACTTTATAAATTGTTTCAGACATCGCATTCCGACGTATCAATGGTGGATGAAATTGCGTCCGTTGCTGAAAGTATTGGCGAAGCACGAGTCGACGTACGAAGAAGAGGGTCTGTACATAACCGTCGAAGAGATGGACGAACAGAAGGATCCGCCTCTCGTATAAACCGTGAGATTAATCTCTTAAAGAGCGCCGCGGTAGATAACGCAAGATAGATATCGCTAATTGCGTGGATAGGCGTGGTAGGCGCCGATTATTATTAAAAGTATCGCAGTATTGTATAAATTATATTACGATAATTTTACTTCTGCTCGACAAGAAACGAATCTTATATTTGTTTATTGAATTATGTGTATCTGAAAAATTCAACTGTATATTAGTGTGGTCATTATTTATTTAAGATTTGCACGCGATTTTTCATTGTATATAATTCAGTCAACCAGCAGATGTGATTGAAAATATACAGGGGAAGGGACGTTTATTTTCTTTTCTTTTGGATTTATCTTATTCGTATCTTGAACGTTTTCGAGCTCAGGTAAGAAATGGGTACAAAAGCAGTACCTGAAGCGCAAAGGTATAAAGTAATATCTTCATAATGTAATACCTATCGGTGCAGCTTGCTGATAAGGCTCCGTTGGCAACGAGACACGGAACACGGTATTGTTACAGTATCTTATAGTAATGTTAAATTCACATTGCGTACATTGATGTATAGTATTGAAGATATAAATTAGAATCGGTATATGCAAAATGTGGTGTAGTAAAATATACCAAGTTAGAGCGCTAAAGAAATAACGAGTTAATGAATCATTTTTAAGAAATACGTAGCAACACATGACTAAATTGGAGATATGCAAAACCAATATTTGATATGCTACTCGAATCTAGTACACACCATTTTCGCACGTATATTTAATTACTCAGCAACGAAACAATTCGCGAAACGTTTATTAACGTCATTAGCAAATAGTGATATTATTTGTGCATTTTTGATGCTTTGGACATTACAGGTGCTTTGTAAGTTAAAAACTAACAGCCTCAAATCTCACTTCGATATTCCGTTTGCTTAATTCTTCAATATAACCAAGTTGGAACGCTTAATTATACTTCTTTTTTTTTTTTTTAGTTGTAGCACGGATCGAGAAGTAAATCAGATTGAGAGAAATTACAAGAGTTTCACAGGTTAAACATTCTGAACCGTATTTGTGGTCTACTAAGGCATAGGATTAAAAAGTAATGCGGTATTTTGCGTCGGTGAAAGTGTTTATCTTTCGGTTTAGCGTTACTCGAAGCTATAAAAGGCTATTGGAGAATATACCTGTCTACCTCAAAACATAATTTTGCAACGGTCAACGACTCGTAGGAAAGAAATTGACCTGAGTCGGCGCGTTAGTTGCACATAACATTAAAAAAAATTTTTGCTAAAATTTAAGGCTTGTGACCACAAAAGTATTTAGATTTAATTCTTTTTCTCTTTCTCTATCTATCCATCTCTTTCTCTCTATCTCTCTCTTTCTCTATACTCGTATATTTAACTTTTGTGAAAGTCGTGCAAGTATTAATCTCATAATTGTTTTCGGCATATAAGATAGCGTTCGTCGTGTCCTTACGAGATTTTAGAAACCAGATAATTACATTCTGGTACCCATCGAAAATTATGTCTTGTGCAAACTCTTACTCGTGTTCGTGTGAGTTCATTTAAGTGTCAGAATAAAATTACCGACGCGTGATTTTAACGGGGAATAAGACGTGAGAAACCTGTGTGCGATAAAGCGTGTGCCATAATTTTTTCAACGTAGTTAACACGCGCTTAAGAATTATGGAGCTCTTACTGAATTTTATTCGAATGCTGATTAGCACTCGCATTGCTGTATTTAAGATTGGCTTACAATTAGTATGTAGCGATTAATGCATGCTGCGAGAACGAAAACTTTGAAAGTACAATGATGTGCGCATACATTACGATTTACTCGACTGGAGTTTTAAACGTAAAAAAAAATATATATATATATATATTATACATAAAAATTATTGGACAAATCACTTATTTAAAGTCGTTCTGAAGTATATGTCTACTTACTAGTATACGACAGATAAAATAGCTCTTGTTGAAAAGCGACAGAATAATATCGCTTGTTTAAACTAATGACACTTGTTTAAACGACCACGTAGAAATCACGTTTAGCTAAAGCGATTTTTAGCGTGACTCTGGTATAGCAACCAAAGTGTATCAGAACGTTTTCGTGTGTTTGGTAATTTGTGGTATAGCCGTTTTGGTAGTTGGTTAATACCATGCTGTACCAAATAATGAAGCAGGATACCTGTTGGTATTGTTGTTAAGTTGCAAATACGCGCCAAATATAACACAAAAATATGTAAACAAAATATATTTTACATATTTATCTCGTGTAAAATCGCCTCTAATGTCGTATCAAGAGGCTGAACTGTTGAACAAAATAAAAGTGCGACGATACGGGAGATACGATAAGGCTCTCGCCAATTATCTGTGCATGAAATCGTAATTTGTAATTGTAATGTGCATCGGTGTGTATGCTTATTATATTTCTCGTATATTTCGATAGGCTTTTATTTCCGGGCAAGTATACGTATATTATAAATTGTAATCAGGAATATTAATTTTTATAAAAGTTTTTTTAATTTTAATGTACAAGTAACTGCAGGATCGGGACAGAGAGCGTCTGATTACAGAATTAACGTTTGATACGAATTGGATATATGTCGAGCTTCTGCCGGTACAAATAAATCACGTTGATATTTAATATCTTTCAATATATTCCGTGCAGCCGTTTTGATTCGCGAGCCATTGATTAATAGTGTATGTACATATAATTACCGAGCGTCGTATATCACACTGACACCGTTCTAGTTATATATACGCAAAAATGTACAAATAGTACTTGCATAATGTCGACCTGTTAGCGTCCCGTCACTAGCGCAATAAGAATATTGAAAAAAAAATGATGTAAATTATTTTTAAGATTTTCAGAGATATATTTTTGACTCATTGTTGATCAATGAATTTACATCCTACCCAGCAGAGCACACATATGTATAGTATTAGAGTTGTCGTATTTATTTTTTTTCCGACATTGAATTGTCGACGTCGTTGCATGCTCGACGGTGCGGTAGACGTGAAATTGTAATTCGCCGACAATTCCGGAGCGTCCCGCGAATTTATTGCTGCGCGACGAAACGTCTAAATTTAGGAGAAGCCGCTACACATATTACGCACGATGTTGTATCCATGTCGTGAAATAAACTATATCTTCTAAAAGTGTTATTCAAACATCACCTAAATATATTATTCTTTCTTATAAAAATAATGTTGTAAAATACTGTTACGTTAAATCTGTGTTACATTACAGTTATATTCTTTACAGTAATTTTAAAGAATGCTTATTAGCATAAAAAATTAATAGGTTCACACTTGACAATGACCAAAACCAATGGTTCTAACATCATGATGATTATAATTAATAAATCTGGTCAGTTAGGCAGAATAAAAATCATTGTTAAGTTCTTTATATTTGAATGCTGTTCTTCCTATATCGTTTTCTCTCTATTTTATCGCAAGAACGTCGTTCATTAAAAACGCAACATTTTTTTCAATTCAAATCTGCGCGAGATGCGCGGGGTACGTCGCGTTACAAGTCAAGCGAGCGTCTGAATCGAAGCCCTTCTCCGAGTCGTTATCGCTGCGTTCCTCTCTCTGTCTCTCGCTCTGTATCCGATATTTACTAAAATAGAATAAAAGATTAAATATGATTTTTTTTGTACGATTGGGATGGACTAGGAAAGGAATTCCGGAGACGCGGACGAGCATCAATAGCCAGTATGACGCGCGCGGTGCCAACGGATTGTTAAGAGAGCGAGCACCACATTGTTGGCGACATTGGCCGCCGCGTGCGTGGCGTAAGCGCACATGACGTTTTCCACGCCGTGGCCCTGTCCTCCCTAAAATCGGATGATAGGAATACGTACACAAAGAGAAGGCATGTGTGCGTTTGAATCTTCGGACAATGGACGAAGACAGCCACATAATGTTCTCTCTTTTTCTCTTGTGTTATAATGCGAAAGATACTGTTTGTTGCACACTCTATTGTTAAACTCCATGCAAATTAAAATACGATTATTTTTGTATTTGTTAATAAAAAAATAAAACATTCTACATAGCGATTAGCGTACAGCATTACATATAAACTTGTAAAAAGAAACATTTTTCTCAAATATTAAAATATAAAAATATTATTTTTACATCATTCAATATTTTTGTACATTGCTTTAATTTCTTTGAATTCTTAACTATCTAAACTTTAAGTTTCGAGACTCCTCAAAGTGATGGATACAACTCCGAAATTATATTGTCGAGCCCTTAAAAAGTTGATGCAAAAATATTTTAGATGCGTTTGGAATCGTATTCTCCAATTTTTTGGAATTTTGGAAAATTGTTGGAATTCTAGATAGTGCAATCGATAGTGCAATCGATTCTAGATAGTTTTTCTAGCATTCTTTAAGTCCTTAAAGTCTTTCTGTACCATTTAAAAATTACCAAATTTGCGGCGATAAAATTAAGTATTCTACTTTTAGCTTTAATTTGCGTTTTGGTTCATTATAAGCTTCGTCTATTTGTTCGTGAGTTATGATTTTTTAAGTAAAACGAGTCGTAACGTGTTTGTCAACATATAATTGTTGTAAAAAAATATACTCGCAACCCGTCGCGTAAAAGAGTCACGGTCGGTCTCGCTCCGCCTGTACTTGGCACGAGACACTACCGTTTCTTTTGATTTAAATAAATGATTTCCAAATTTTCTTTACATTGATTTTTAGTCGAAGGTACAAAGATATTATAATAATTTTTGGGGAATTTTTAAAAGCTATTAACATTTTGAAAAACACGTCTGACTTGAAAGTGCATGGTTGGAGGATTAACGGGGCGGAAAAAACGTTGGAGTGAATAGGGTTAATGTCTCCTCCGAAAAGATAGCCCAGTTTCTCCGCACGAGCCCTACTCGTGCGGGGGGTGCAGTTTGGAATATAAAAATTCCTGTGATCAGGTGGACTCGAACCCGGTTTCTCGGGATTACGAGTCTGGCGCTTTACCACAAGACCACACTGCCACCCAATAATTGTAACTATTAATATTACTACTGTTCTTTCGCGGTCGGTTAGCTTTGAAATTTGCGATCCTGTGTCCATTGTCCGAAACTAGCCGAAGCTCCGAGCTCCGACGCACACGTATTTGCATATTGCATAACGTAACGTTCCTTTGCTTTGTGTGCGTATCTTCAATTCCCCACCGTTCGATTTTCGGGTGAGCGGGGTGCCGGGGTGAGCCGCGTGCGTGGCGTGTTCGGCGTGTGCGCGCATGACGTTTACCGCGCCGGTGAAACGCCGTGGCTCCGTGGCCCGGTTCTCGCTCCCGTCCGCCAGCCGCCTGCTCCCGACTCCCGGCACTCGGCAGTCTCGGCTCCGTCTGTTCAGTCTGTTGTGGTCTGTTGTCGCTGTTGTGCCGCGTACGCCGCGCAGTAAACAGCACGCTCCTGTCGGGCAAGATGGTCACGGTGAAGGGACGCAAGAGCTCGAGCAAGAATCCGCCGATCCTCAGCCACGAGTTTGTCATACAGAATCATGCGGACATCGTCTCCTGCGTGGCTATGGTCTTCGTGATCGGCCTCATGGTGCAGGTCGGTGGCTGCGCCGCACTGTCCCGGCATCCTCGAAATTCACATCCGTTTCGATTTATCATTCATTTGGCGAAATGGGAGAATCACATTTTTGCGTCGAGTTTCCCTAGCGGAGAGGCGTCCGCGTCCTCGATCTCCTTTCTGCGTTGCGTTGGGCGGAAATTGGAGATGCGTGAGAAATAGAATGACCATATGTTACTTTGGGTTGTTAATGTCAAGACAATCTGGACCCGTCGCACATACGAATACATTTTTATTTGTCACATCTGTGAAGATTTATTACTTTGGAGGGGACTTTTGAGTTCTCATTACATCTCATTTATAAACATATTAATGGTGATAGAGAGATATACGTATGTAAAAGGGTTACATTCAGTATTATATTTATAAATTTACAATACTTTGTTTTTTTTTTTTATAATTTGTGTAATCGCAGAAAAAAGGATCTATCAAAACGTTAAAATTTATTTTGTCGGAATATCCAACTATACATAATTCTTGCGGCTGCATGTTGTATGTCCTTTTCTCCTAGCTGTTTGTATAATATAATCTAATAAGATTATTTTCTGTCAGGTTACCTCACCATGGGCTTACATGTTTATTGCTATTCACCATAATGTGACCAATACTACTGAGGATCCAACCGCGGTGATAAAGTATACTACAGGATGGAAAGATGCATGTGCGGTGTTCTTTTACTTCTTGATAGCCATTATAATGCATGCCGTGCTTCAGGAATATATATTTGACGTAAGTATATCATCCCTACTGAAATATCGGCTGACTGTAAGATTGTACTTCCAGCTTTCACCGATAAAACCACTTTTGTCCGCAGAAAATTTCCAAGCGACTGCATCTCAGCAAAGTAAAGCTTTCTAAATTTAACGAGTCCAGCCAATTGATAGTGTTTTATACATTGTCTGCGTTGTGGGCCATCGACATTATAATCAGGTGATACAGATTTGTAGACATATGAGAGAATATTTATAAAGAGATATAAGAGAAATATATTTATAAAGAGGGAAAAAGTACGTATCGACGAAGTAACGTTTCTTCTTCTTTCAGGGAGAATATACTTTTGAATATATGGGCATTGTGGGAGGAATACCCGGCGCCGATGTCCGCCTCCCTTAAACTATTTTTTATCGGTCAGCTTTCCTATTGGTTGCACTGCTATCCCGAGCTCTATTTTCAACGAATTAAGAAAGAAGATATTTTGCAACGCGTCCTCCATGCAACCATCGGATTAATCTTCACATTCGCAGCTTATTTCTTCAAGTAATATTACAATATATAGACGTTTATACTTTCTACTTTCGCCAGTTTGTATTAAAAAATATATTCATCGTTCTCCGCAGCTTCCAACATCTCGCCCTAATCTTGTTAACTCTCCATTACGTGGGCGATGCTTTGCTACATGCAGCCAGACTTGTTCACTTCATTAGCCAGAAAGAAAAGAGAACAAAATGTAAGTTGCCTCAGGCTACTATATTGCGCATAAATCGCGTAACTCAGAATTTATTTATTCGTCTGACTTTTTTTTTGCTATAGTGTCATTCCTGGTTGCCAATTCGACTTACGCATTCGCGCGTATTGTGACCATCGGACTGACGTGTGTAGTGTTCCTGTACGGTTTAAGGAAGCAGGAGTTCAAGTTTGACTACGCCACCGGCAACTTTAATACTCCCCCTGTGCAGTTTTCGGCAGCACTTATTATCTCGCTCTTCCAAGGCTATCTCCTGTATTTCTTCATTAAGAAACAGATTAAGCGTGCACGCGAAAATGCCGCGCCTGTTGTCGTGAAGACGAAGCCGAAGCAGAAGCCGAAGAAACGAGAAGGTGAAAACGGTTTCGTTTATCATTATATACTTCGATATTATTGATTTTTTTATTATTATTTCTATCAGAATTTTTATTTCATCGAAACAAAATGTATACGTATTTTGTATGTTTGTCGCAGGCAAGAAATCCGCCTTGTCCGAAGACGACGATCTCCCAGAAGTAGACCAGGCGACGAAGAAGAATCTGAGAAATCGTCCTTCAGCCAAGGCAAAATAGACGCTCAATAATTTAGAGAAATCATCTTCGCAAGGTTGATTGGACATTCGATTTTATTCGTCTATATGTCACGAACACGTCAGAATATTTGACTAAGGTGTACAAAAACATATTCTTCTTAATGTAAAAACGAAGCTTCCATAATAACTCTCGTCGTGCAGAATGTTGAAGGATCTGGTAACTCGATTTTGTATTCGGCAGATGCGGCAGATTTTAAACGTTTTATGAAAGAGATAGGCACATTGATAATCTAAACGAGCGGATATTTTTAACTACAGATAAGTTTTTTTTTCACCATTTTATTGCTTTCATATGAATTATACAGAGATAAATGTTGTATTCATATAGAATCGCGGAATGTTAATGCGCACTTTGCTACATTGTCTTTTTATGCGCGTTATGTAAATTTTTCTAAATATGTAAACGCGCGTTATTTATAATCTAATTAAGACAAATTTATATGATTTTATCCCTGTTTGCTGTTACTTAAAATTCTTTATAAATTTTTTTGCGCACTGATTTCTTTCGGTGAATTTAGAGTCGATTCGAATAGGCCTTTCCAAGTTTCCGCTTTTCGATCTCTCTTTTTTTCATCGTCCTGCCGATTTAGACGGAGGAGAGATCGAAGAGAAAACTGAGCTCCAACCAGGTTAGAAGCTTTGATCGGTCTTGCTTGTTATCTTGGATTATCCTTGGAATAGAATATTCAAATAGAATAGAGACAAACCCCTATTATGCTAGCATTAAGTTACGAGGAATAAAAGTACATAGACATAATGCACGAATTAATCTGGACCATAAATATGCTACAAGAATCATGCCACGTAAAAATATACATATCCTATTATGGAATTATATTGTTACATTTAAATATAAGTTTTATTATTTTTCAATATATATGTATATCAATGGAAAAAAAATGGTTTTGTTATTGTAGTACTGCGTGCTTGGCGAATAATTATATTTCTTTAAAATTACTGTTCCAAAAGTAACTTTAAAGAATTCAATACATATATCAATGGAAAAAGACGGTTTTATTATAGCACTGCGTGCTTGGCGAATAAATTATATTTCTTTAAAATTACTATTCCCCAAAGAAGAGGAATAAAATAGATAAAAGAAAGCGAAGTTTTTGATAGATCATTTTTTAAAAATGTTTCCACTGTTCGGCAATCTTATGCAGATTGCCTCCGTTATCCGAAAATAGAGCGTTCCTTCTATAAGCCGAAATGGCGTAAAGCGAAGAAACAATGACCATTAATTTATATGTATATGGGAAATATTTTTTCGTAAAAGCGAAGTGACGTAAAGCGAACTTTCGAAAAGCGGGGGATACTTGTATTGTCGAATTTCTATTTGTAATTCCACTTTTACTCGTGCAATAAGAATTTAACACTGCGATCGATCGATCAATTTTCTGTTTGCGCCTGCGATCTATTTTTTCAAGAAGACGGGATATGTAATGACTGTGTAAAAATTTATTGGCTACCTTGGTAAATAAACTTGTGTTAACTGAATAAAATTTACAGTTGTTTTTTTTACACAAAGCATTATAATACTCATATGGCAATGCCAGAAAAGAAAGAAAGATTTCTTTTGTTTTTAAATTTCTTTATAAAAGTATAATAAAATATAAAACATAAGATACATTTTTACGAAATTTAGAAACATGAAACATATAATTTTAATCAAATTTCTCGGTTTTTAATTTTAAATTCTTGACGTATTAAAAAAAAAAAAAGAAAAATTTCGTGTCGAGTTCGATGACAGGAAGAAACACTGTTGTGCCGATTCTCGGAACGGCGAAAAACAGCGATATCGGAGTATTCTCAATTCCCGCTAGCGAGCGCTGGCGTAGTCAGGCGCAGTCGCGCAGTGCAAGAGTTTGGAAGAGTGCAAGCTGCGGTTAAGCTGTCGTAGCTGTTGATCGCGGGGATATGGGAAAATGTATTTGAAGCGCACGTCGAAGCTGCTGGACCTCACGGTGTCGCGCACCACTGCGGACGTGGATCTGCGCGACCTGACGTGCCCGATATGCCGCGGGATCCTGATCGAGCCAGTGACGCTGCCGTGCACACATAACCTCTGCCTGCGCTGCCTGCAAGGTACGTTCGAGCACAACAGCCTGAGCTGCCCGCTCTGCCGGGTCCGGGTGGGCTCCTGGGTGCGCACCGCCACCAGGTCCGAGACGCTGGTGAACCACGGCCTCTGGCAGCTGATCAGGTCCAAGTTTCCGAAGGAGGTCGAGAACAAGCACAATGGTGAGGAGGGGGACCTCGGCTTGGACGCTGGTGAGTGAGACGCGCATATATATATGCGTGCATATACACGTATAAACCCCGCGCGCGCCCGCGCAATCCTGCACGCACACGCACACACTCGTGCGTCCCAGCAATAAACAAATGTAACATAACCTAAGCGATTTGTGTTTACTTGTCGGGATGACATTTCGCGTGCTTCTGATAGATGCTCCTGCGGATTATGTAATCTCGATGCTTTAATCCGCAGCCTCACCTAGCTCCGTTTTTTTTAACGCGATTTTCAGTTTTAACACGCATGAGCGGTTGTGATTGTTCCTTAACTTTTGTTGAACTTATTAATATAAATTTATTATAATTGAAGAAGTACGTAGTGTGTGTTGCGTGTCAAGCGTGTTGATTTTTGTTACGAGATACCACAGAAGAGTATTTTCCTTTTATACAGATTATGCGGCGAACAGAATACTCAGCGCGGCTGGAGAGATACACCGGGAGTACAAGGCTCAACTTCAAAAGGTCGAGGAAGAGAGGCGCCGTCAGAGGCAGGTCGAACAGATAGCCAGCGAGGCTTTGATTCAGCAGATTCAGGCGGAGGAGAAGCAGTTGTTGCTGGCGCAGCTGGCGCAGGATCAGCTGCTGGCTAAGACTCTGGCCAAGCAGCAGCGAAAGGAAGCCGCCCAGAAGGAAGCTACAAAGTGTTACAACGAGTGTTTGTCGGTGCCGAGTTACGCCTTTAACGAGTCCAAGTTCAACTATCCGACTATACGTGTAAATAATGTCGAGACGACGCCGCAAACCGAAACTGCACGCTTGGAAGGCAGACACATGGGTCTTCCCGAATCTCTCAGAGACAGCTCGAAAACGAGGCAAATAAATATGTTGTCTAAGGTGGACGTGTATTATGGTGTACGCGGCTCTAAGGAGGCAAACACGTCCGGTGTGTACAAAAATCCGGCCACGTATTGTTGCCAGAAACAAATGCCCGTTTATAACGCCGTCGCGAAGAAACTTCAATCCAAGTTTACCCAACCTTGCACCTCAAATTATTCCATGGAGCCCGGCTGCTCCACGTCCAGGGCTTACGCGACGGAGACTAAGGAGGAGTTGCGAGTGCCGAGTGACGTGGTGAACAGCAAGAAGAAGAGTCTCGGGGTGGAGGTGTGCATGACGCTGGCCGACGACGACGAGAGAATAGGCAGCGCCGAGAGTTCCGGCAGTCACGACAGCATAAATCAGGAGATTCATCATTTCAAGCCGATCAAGACGGTGCCGAGAACGAAATTGCTAATTTCTTCAGGTATTTATATGTCAAAAAGAAGGAGAGAAAGTGAATTTATTTGATAGTGAAATAGTTTGTGCAAAAAAATCTTTTTTTAATATTTTTATGTTTGTGTATCTGCTTCTAGATGGAAAACAGATAGATCCGAAGTTGATTAGGGTGGTCCCGATTTTAAAGAAAGTGTCTAACGCAGTGCCAAAACCTCCATCGCCGACACACGTGAAACTTATTGGATGTTCTTGGAGCGCCTTCAGAGGTAATTTATAAATATTCGCATGCATATATTATCATGTTACATAGATATTTTTATATGACTAATTAGATTCTTAATTAAAATTGTCTAAATATATGAGCCTATGTTTTTTTATTTAATTATAAGATGTTGTTACAGGTAAAATAAGACAGGACGCAAAGGAAAAGCACGCTGCGCACAGTCTGAAGGATAATACGGGGACATTAATCGAGCAGAAGCCATCAACGTCGCTCATTCATTCTCAAACGGTTTCGAATAAGTCGACGACGAAGCCTCAGACAAACGACGCTATCCGCCGACTCAATTTTATACCCGAACCGTCGTTCGATAGTAACAAAAATTACACGAAGAATACAAGTAAAATAATCAATGGCGCTAAAGTGATTAAGAAGTTGTTGGACGATGAAGTGGACGCGGGAAGAACGCGCGATAAGGCTTTGAGGACGAACGTGCGAAACGGTATGGTAGCGAAATATAAACGGCATAGAAACCTACGGAGCAGAAAGGAAACCAGACTTACCGTGAACGTGACGGATGAAGAGGAGGCCGAGCCGACGGGCTCCAATTCGTCATTCAGTAAAACAAGTTCGCAAACCGGCGAGCGAGACGGTGACGATGACGTAGCTGTTGAAAATATAGCGGAACGAATTAAAAGGAGGAAAGAAAACGCAGGGAAGAAGACGCTGGAGCCAGGAACGGAATCCAGTGCGTCTAAAAGAAGCAGAACAACAACGAGGAAGAAAGCGTTACCTGAGAGGATAGCGGTGGATCGAGCTACGTTCTCGACATCTCAAGAGAGTACGGAAGTCGGCGGCAATTCCATGAAAAGTCCCGCGAAGCGGCGAAAAAAGAGCAGCTCTCAGAACAATACGGAGAATCTTGGGAAGAACGATCTCTCGACGGACGCTGTGCCCGGCTTGAGGAAGTCCGCGCGAAACTTGACGAGGATTTCTTCCATGGCAAGCGAGTCGGATAACAAGAGTAACAAGAGTAATAACAAGTTTAATTACGACTCGCCGCCGGAGTCCTGCGACGAGACGGATCAGCGCGTCCCGGAGAACGACGACGCCGTCTGCGTCGGCAGACTTCTCTCGGACGAGGAAGTGATCGAGGAGCAGCAGCGGATCGAGCGATTGTTGCTGCAGGAGCGAGAGGACTTCGAGGTGGCTCGTCGCTTGCAGGCCCAGTACGACGAGATGGAGCGAATAGCCGGACGCACCAGACGCTCGAGGCAAGCCACCGAGAGAAGCGATGTGAATTTGCGTGAGGTCGACGCGGCGAGGACGGTTCGTAGGACGAGCGGGGTGCGCAGAGCCGCGAAACGGAAGTCGATTGTCGGTCGAGTCGCGAGTACCGCGGCCATGGGGACGCGCGGTAGGCCGAAACGCATGAAAATCACGGTTGACACGCGCGAGGATGAGACGCGCACGCGATAATCGGCGCCGCCACGGCGCGTGAGAACCTGAAAACCCTCCACACACAAAATTGGATGTTCCTATAAGCCATACGTTTGACGAAAGAGGATTCGACTTGTGACTTTTGTACAGTGTCTTGTGTATTTTTTAACAAATCATTTGCCGTATTGAATATGTACCTGGATACATCGCGAGAGTATGAACGAAGGAAGCGGTTTTTGGCTCTTCTTGGATTGTTGTAACGTCCGTTTCCGGTGTCCACACGAAGGAACGTCTGTTGTGCTCGTTTTTTCTGTTCCTAACGCATCATCGTTCGTGCACGTTTTGACAACATGGGAAACGCGGTTTGTGCTCATGTACAATACGCCCTGGAACGACCGGCCTAAATTTTAACAAATCTTGACCGACAGATTTCTTTTTTAGCGAGATAATTTTTTAAGATTGAGGTTGGCGTTTCTCCGGGACACCTCGGCCGGGATTTGTAGTCGGACCTTGTATTTAAGACCGTCTTAAGTAATGTTTTAAGACGCTATAGCCGGTATTCATAGTCAGATCTTATTTCAAGAACGTCTTAAGTAATATCTTAAGATGCTAATACGGCTCTGTGATTGGTTAATGACATCTTAAGATTGTACTTAAGATGTCATAAACCAATCTTAAATATAAGATTCGACTGCGAATACCGGCCCTGGTAGCTATTTGATTAGTTTTCGAAAGAGTGAAATTATCGCATTATAATCAAAACGAAGAGTGACAATATTTTAGCGAGACGTTGTTACATTTAACTTGAGGGCGAAAAGGAATCGAGTGCATGCCTGCAATATTGACGGCGAGAGATAGCTGCGAGGTTGAAACTGTAGTTTTATACAGCGATTACATTTATTTTTTAAGAGAGCTTGTCTATTTAAGTAGACTTAAGTCGCCACTCATTATAGCACTCCCATAACAATATTATAATAGGTATATGTAAATTAATTGGCTTCTTTCTTCAAAGTTCGATTATGCTGATAGCTGGTCTTTGGTTCCTTCGCTTTCAGCAAAACGCTAAATCGCATAGTGACGAGCGCCGCATGACGTGTCGTTGACGTCGTTGTCGCGGTTTCAGACGAAAATTTTCTATGGAGAGCCGTTTTATCGCGAAATACGTGTATTTATATTTCTATGTGTCGTTCTCGTGAAAGTTAGTCAAAATCGAAGGAGATTTAATCGAGTTTTTTAAATAGAAAAAAAAAAGAGATCGGAGAATTGTTTAAAAAACTCGATTATTTTTAATTAATTTTTAACTAACGTTCACGAGGACCATTTTTACGTGTAAAGTTTGTTACGTGACATTTATACAGATACACTGAGAAAGGATTATGATGAGTAATCGTGTATAGCGTTAAAAGAGAGACTATATGTTTGATAGGATCCGCTTGATATCGCAATCGCGTCTACTGTCAGCTTCGACGGCCTTGATTATCATACCGCAATCGAATTAATTGTTATAAATTAAGTGTTATATTAAGAGAGGATTTATACACTGTGCGCGATCGTGTGTGATGGACTTAATTCGACGGGCGCAGAGGCTAAGAAACGTAGTTCGCGAGCTACAGTTCCTTCACAGCTCACACAGTTCCGTTTCTTTTTTTTTTTTTTTTTTTTTTTCGTAGGCTCGAATTCTTTCTCGCCCGTGCACGTTGATTATATAATTCATTCGTATCGTAACATATTCTACCAAGTATTTCTTTTTTAATTTTTTTTTTCGAGAGGGGAACATGGACACAAATTCGCGTCCATGCCTTTCGCGCTTCTCCCACTTGTGATACTATCGCAGTATTTTACATTTGAAATTCGTTCTTAAGTCTTTATCGTTACTGCCGATAGTATTTTGCTCTGAAATGCTGTCGCAGGTGAGCTCGCGTTTCGTATACTTGTAATAGCGAACAGATACTTCTAATAGATCTTTATAATTTAACGTATATATTCTGGGGCTAGCGCAATTTCTTCTCGTGGAAATTTACTGTTGAAAATGGTCAATTTTATCAGAAATATTTTTTATTTGACTCGAGTCAGACCGATCGAGTTCTTCACGCAAAAATAATCCATTATTCTGACGGTAAATCAAATCGAAGATACTCTCGGTGCAATGCAGCCATAATCCCTCTCCTCAAGTCTCACAAAAGAGAGAGAGATTCTTTGCCGGACGTTATCTGAATACAGAATGTTCTCTTTAATGTCCATATTTTTAAGTAGGGAGGATATTCGTAAAGAGGATGGCAGTGTGGTAAAGAAACAGAAACTACAAACGGATGGGGGAAGACATTCGGATTCGGGAAACGATTTTAACGAGCCGCGGGTATATTTTTGTCTCCCGAAACAACTGGGGAAAAAAATAAAAAAGAAGGCGGTCTTTCATTCCGAGCTATTCTACGACAAATCCAGAATTTGCGAATTCAAAGAGGCTTCCGAAAGTTTCCTCGTTAGTGCGGGATAAACGGGAGCAACAAAGGGAAACACGATTGCGAAAGGGAGGATGTTTTCATCACTCCTGTGCTACTGACCTTCCATGGTTTTTTCTTCTATTCATGATTTAATTTAAACGCGACGTATATATTTGCCGTTAAAATATATTACACACACACGAATTGTTTGTTATCCGCTGCATGAATAGTCTTTCAACTATCTATTTTTTTTCTTAATACGTGAATTTTAAGTATATAAAATATATGGCACGCGTGTATCGCGAGTATGTTTAATAATTAATATAACGTAATGTGTAATAAGTAATTGCGAGGAGATGAAATAAAGTCGGTCGATATCGTTAGGGAATCGCACGAATATATATTACATATGGACTAATCTAACAATAATATATAGTGTAAAGAAAAGCGCATGGAATTTATGGAATAAATCATAGAGAATGTATAGAGAAGATATTTAGTTATAGAGCGCGACAGGATAACGTCGAATATTACATATTGATAATGAATAAGTAGCGCATCGTGAGAGAAAGACAGATTAAAGCGAGCCCCGTAATCCATAAACTCGGAATGAATGAAACACACTCATTATGGATTTTTAGGGAGAGTCATTTTTATATTATGTCATATGGTTTTGCGCAATAGAAGACGTAGCAAGAGAGCAACGGAAGCCTACGAGAAATCGCGGTTTTTTTCTCTTGATATGTTTTATATGTGAAAAAAACGAATAAATGACTGTAACTATTCTAAAAAGTGTGCGTCATTTATTTGGCAGCGTGCCAAAGGATCCTCTCTGTCTTGTACGAAAAATGATTGTCAACGCTTTAATAAGCAAACGATATTATCGAGATCTATTATAAGGTATTTCAAGGTGATTAATTTTTCGCTAAAATTCTCCCCTGAATAAGGAAAAGCATTTTAATGCAATTTGACACAAGTAGGATAAAATTTTCTTTTCGGGCTATATAAGAATATAATCTAATAATATTAATGCAATAATAATCTAACAATGTTGTTTTTGCGAAAATTAAATACGTACGATGATTTCGCGACATTATAACTATATCTTGGTTTATAATTTAATTATAAATTTGTTGTTCTTCGGGATGTGCGACGAAAAATTGTTATGCACATTGCGCGATAATTCGGTCAAGGGTATCGCGAAGGTAAATATCCTTTCTTACGCAATGAGATTAGCGAGTTATAACGATATACGTTATAACAAGCAGAGAATCTTTGTCCATACAAAATAAGAGAGACACTCATAAAGTTACGCAAGGGATCTAATTAAGGGCTGCGACACACTGTATCTTTTCAAAGTTGAGTATTTTGTTTTTTTTTATAACATTTCTCACACATTAGAATTTGTAGGAGTGAAAAATTGTATTATTTGACGAATAATATAAAACTTCTTACTAAAAGTTATGTACAAGATGTTCTCAAAACTAAAGGGTGATGTTTGATATTTTTATACGAAAAATATTAAAATATGTGTAATATTAAAATATAATTAATAACATGTTATATATATACTATGTTATTTTCTCCTAACATATAGGAATTACAATTTTTAGAAATAAACAGATCAACAAATCCGATATAATAGAAGCTATAGTTTAAGATCCCGATACTTTTATATTTCTGATAATAACTTGAAACCTTATTTCATTCATTACTAGTAAACCCTTTAACGAGAGTCGCAAATGAGTGATCTGATACGAATCTAGCCGGGATATTGGTGATAATCAAGCATTTTTATGAGTCCCCCCCCTGGAAGTCGCATATATAAAACTAATTTGTAAAATGTGACACGATTATCTTGCTGAAAAACAGTCGATGTTTTTTTTTCTTTAATATTTCTCCATTTTTGCGGCTTAAATTATTGAGTTCTATATTTATGTAAGAATTAAATAGAAAACAATACGATCGTAATGCAGCCGTATTATATGACTGATTCGTAACAGGCAGCAAATGATAATTGCGATTTCTTTATTATTTCTCCGCGATTAAAAGAAACTAAAAAGAAGCCCTCTCTCGCAGGGGACCGCCGAAAGGAAACAGCACAACGCAGGTACTTATGCGGTTTGCGCGCGTAATTGCTGGCGATCGCTACAATTGCGACAGCTTAACACCAACAACACACTCGTTGCGTCACGTATCGCCGTGAAACAGCGGGAGCCGATATTCTCGCCGCGCCTCGCACTTTCCGTCGCACGTCCCATCAACCCTATTTTCTCCGACGAACTTCGTCTCGCCCGGGTACTTTTGCCCTGAGATTATACGGACCGTGGTAGAAACAACCGTATAATCCCATTGTTGCCCCCGCAACTCGATTGTGGCCTTCCTGAATAGATCCGATGATTACCGCATGAGTTACATCGCGGCGAACCTTCCGCCGGGCCCTTATAACGTGGCTCTTCTTTCCCTTTTACAAACTTGTCCACCGAAGCGATTTCGTAATCGTTTATTTTTTATTAAAAGCGCGATGTCTCCCCTCCGGCGTCGTTACTTTACTTAGAAGGCACGATGCGAGTCTTGCATCGCAAATTTGCACACTTGCCACCCCTTTTTTTCTCACGTAATCAATCCGTCAGTAATGCCTGCGATTCAATTACATCGTAATAATTCGGAAGTATGTATACGATCCGATGTATATCGCCGTTGTGTTATATCTGTAATTGAAAGTGACATCTCGATTGAATTTTCATGCGCGAGTCAAGCGATAAACCGTGTATTGTTCCCCGGATCTATTAGGCTCTCCCTGTGATGAATAGTTAAATATGTGTTTCATTTAACACACGAAGCCTATTTTAATCGGGCAAACACAAGTTCGTTACGCAAGCCAGAGGTTTTGCAGATCAATATAGTAACCTCGTCCCACAGTCCCGGCGCGGGCGCTTTAAATCGATAACAAATGGTTATGCAAAATGTATAAACAATTTGTCGACTGAATGCGTAACGCGTTGAAGGGAACTTGCTTTCTATTTGTTAACCTATTGCACAAATATATAGTCGTTAAGTAATCTGTTCTTTAGCTATAACTTCCAATTTGTTATATTTTTAAAAATTACAATGCTAATATAGAAATTATACCTTTCCTGCAGTAAAAATAATCTTAAATCTTATCATTAGAAGGATCGATTCTGCAGAGTCGGCCGAACTTTTGAAAAACATCGCGAGGACAGATTTGTCCCCGATTCGATATCTTTTTGGCAACTTTTCAATTCAGCATCGAACCCCCGCTGAGAGAAGAATTTAAATAACAAAACTTCTATTAAAATTCGTTCAATCTGCAGTTCTTCAAATAACATGGTCACTCTCTAAAATTGTTTCCTTAAAATGCAAAAGAATAAAAACTATCTCGGTAATTAGAACGCCTTTAAATCTTTCCGAGATTTAAAGGATCCAGAGGGAGGAAAATCTGCAAGTTTCTAAGGACATTTCGGCGAAATTTTGAGGCATCTTGCGCGAGGATCCCGGATCTTTCGGAGCTCTGCATTAGAAACAGACGGCCTCGGGCGGACCGAGATGAGGAGAAAAAGCGCTCGCGAGAGCGAGAGGCAGCGAGAGGTGTTCTCCCGAGCGGCCACGGCGGCTGCAACGTGACCGCGGCACCACGTGACCCGCGCAGCCAATTGGATCTGCCGCGGATCGACGGTCACGTTGCACTCGGCGTGGCTCGTTCACCCCGCACGCTCCTGCACGCTGCCCCCTCGTCCATCGGCCCCCTTCGACAATTCGCACTTCGCATATGCGATCGGCTGTCAGCGCGGTGCGGTGTGCTTTTTCGGTCCCGCGACATATCGCTTGTCTATTCGTTCACTGGTGCGATCGTGTGAAATAAAAAGAAGAAGAAAAGAAGAAACGGGAAGAGTGATTGGTGAACGCGCGCGACGAGCGAAGCGCGATCGTCGAGTTTGCGAGTGCGAGCCCGAGCCTTTTGCGCGGAACTCGCGAGCCGCGCAAACAGTGAATTATCGTTATCGCTATCATTTGCTTCTGGAATTAAAAGGCTCGGTGGCGCCGATTATTCATATCAATTGTGACGGGACGATTAGCGCGCGAGAACGATGCAGCGAGCGCGTCGTCGATTCAGCGAGTGCCGCGAGTGAATCATCGAATTAATAATTCAGCCGTGCGAAATCGGGCAGTTAACTAGAGCCTCCCGTGACGATCGGCAGCGGTGACTCACGAATGAATCACTGAATTTGCGACGAAGCGAAAAATCCAAAAGTCCGCGCAGGAGAAATGAGTGTCGCGGCTGACGAACCTGCAGTGACGATTTGAGTTCCGCGATCCGATATCGATCTCGCCCGCTCGTTGAATCTGAGGAACCGAACCGTCGTAGGGCTTCGCGGACTTGCTTAAATCACCGGCGGGAACTCACGGCGGTTAAATTGTATCGCGACGATGCGCGCTCCGCGGCGAGTCCGCCCCGCCGGCCGCGAGTGCATCTCATAGCGGCCCGCGGATTTCTGCGGTGGATCGCGGTGGGTCACATTGCCCCGGCTCTTCTAACTCGGCGGCGCCGCTTTCACCGGCCGCTTCAACGAAAGTAAGAGCTAGAGAAAGCGGTTACGCATAGAATCGCAATCCATTCGAATAGCGATCAAGGCGTTTCGATGGTTCATTTCCTCCCCCGCCTAAGTTACTATTACAATTAATGTGCAACTAATTAATATTGATATACATATAATATAATTAGATATTTAATTATATATATAATTATTATATCAAATTAATATACATAAATACAGAATGCTTATTGTTAAACAAAATGTTAATACTTATATGGGAGTAACTTTTTTAGAGAAACAAGAAATCATAGTAGCAAATGTATTTTATCTTCAAAGAGTCTCCACTTGTCATCATTGTCAACACATTCTTGGAATTTTCTCCAGGTGGTCTCCAAAACCCTGAAGCACATTTCTTTGGATATTGTTGCAATCACATTTGCAATTTTCTGTCAGAGATCTTGCACGTTGCAACGATGGTGAACAAGTGGACTCTTTGAAGACAAAATACATTTGTTACTATAATTTCTTCTTTCTCTAAAAAACGTTAACATTTTTTTGAAGCACTCTGTATAACAATTAATATACAATAATTATTATATTGTTATACAAACACACAATCTACCAGGTTCCTTTACATACACGATATGCTTAGATCTGACTTTGCAAAACTTGGAAAAATGCGACACAAATATTTCATTTCTTTGTAAATTTAATTTCCACGGATATTAATATTCTCAAATTGTTTGAAACTCAAGACAGTACGTTTAAAAAATTAACTTTTTAGATACAACTTTAACCATCTCAGATCTTTCTGCTCAACTTACTGCAGTTCCGACATGATTAATTTTCCGCGCCGGGATATTAAGAAAAAAAAACACTTTGATCTAAGATATATTAAATAAGCAGTCAATCCGCAACGTGTTGAGAGAGGATGATCGGTGAATAATGTATACGGCGTAATCCATTAATCGTCGCGTGAGGGCCGTGAGGAATTAATAATCCCTGTCATCCGATAGCAAGAAGAAACGCGACATTGAGAATTTAGGGAAGAAAATTTATGGAAAATTCTCCGTCATTAATTACGGAATCATTAGTTCCATTAATGTTGCCGGAGCCTGCGGGGTTTCCGTCATTCGGGTGCGCTGAACCATGTCGGTCCAGGAACAGGTGTTTAATCGTCCCCGCACGAGGGTTTAACTTATTGACTCGTCTACTCGATACGGAGCGGATACTTTCGGAGCGGAATGGATGTTTCCAACTCGGTCCCCGGCTCTCGACCCTTATCAATTAACGCGTACAAGGGGGTTGCCGAAATGTCGCTCGCACCGTCGGCGTCGGCGTCGTTACGCCGGTTTTGTCACGGAAAACGGAATGCAGAGACGGCGACGGACGTGTGCGTTTAGTCACTGTCGTGTCGCTGCCGCTAAACACTGATCCATCAAAGTACATACCAGTTCAGTCACGGCCGAGCTTCTCTCGGTTCTCGCTCTTTTTGTCGCTGCTCGATAGGCAAATAACGCGAACGTCTTCCTCGCGACGATGCGACGTCACGAGTTCCCTATCGCTTTTTTATTCCGAACGACTTTCTGCGAGATACGATTTACACGTTTGCGATGCACGTGACGCACGCGTGAAAATTGATCTCGAAATACAACGTCGGCGGCGATAAAAGTGCCCGGTCGAAATCAATGGGGAAACAAAGCGAGCGTTAAAATAAACAGGGATTTAAATGAAATGTAAAATTTCGCTGGATTTAACGGGCAAAAATTATTTATCGCGCGATAACACGAGTGACGCTACAGGTGGTTAATTAAATTTATATGCAATAAGTAAAATCCCCGCTTGTCTTGATTGTATTAATCGTTAGCGGAGTACACTCTTCCATCGAATGTATCCCCGGAAGCGTGTAACGATAAGCTGTCAGGTGTGAATTACATTCGATCTAAACATAGTTTCATGTACGAGTGTTTGCACGCTTGCATCGCTATAATTAGCCGTCGTCGGCAACGATGATCTTATGCAATATCGAGACTCGCCGTTTTTTTTTTCAATTTTATCTCTCTAAAAGCAAGACTGTAACAAGCCTATGCACTCGATAATTCATTCGAGTGGGCTCCGGAATATAAAATTTATCGAAAAAGCACTGAAATGTAACTCCGAAGTTTTTTGGAGCAGATAAAAAGAGGATAACTTCTATGTATATATTAAATCCCTTAAGCGGATTCCAAATATTATACTTTTTGCTTCAGCGTTTATACTAGAGTGCCAATATTTATAATAAAAATAAAATCTAATCGACGCAACGCATATAACAATAAAAAAAGTTATCATATCGATTTTTGTATAGTAGAGAATCGTTGCGTCATATTCTCTATATTTAATCGTCAGGACACTTTTCGGGACGTCTCAGAAACTCCAGAAATTTCTGGAGAAGAGCCGGAATTCCATTATCGAAACTTTGAGAGCTGACTGCTAACTGCGCGGAAATAAAATAAATGCAGCGGTCAGTTTAGCCCGTATTTCGCCGGTCGTCTCGAATTTCTGAACGGAATCCTCTGCGGTCAGTAAAGGCGAGTGCACGCGCGAGTCCATCGACGTTATCGCGAACGTCGAGAGAGCGCGAGAGCTCTCCCCACTTACATCATAACTCAGGCCGAGGGAAAGACGGTTATGTCAGCGCGCGGCGACGACGTAACGCCTTTTCCTGGTTTATATAGATCACTCGCTCTCAAACGCTAATTCTGTACGCGACGCATATGTAATTAATTCTCTTTCGAGCCTGACAGAGATAGCCCCGAAGTGTATTTGTATCGTTTACTTCTAGCTAGTTTTGAATTTCTGCTGGCTTTTCAGCAATATCAGCGGCGTTTTCAGCAACGCGGAAGCTGCGTCGCTTATCATCTTCGCGAGATTAACCCTTTAATATTTTAGGGAATATTTTATTATACTCAATTATTTAATTATGTATTAAATTATACATATACTGTATCAAATTAACATATCTATAATATAAACAGAGTGATTCAAAAAAATGTTAAATTAATTAGTAGAACGGCGGAACTTTTTTAGAGAAACAGAACTGAAAACACAAGCTGTCATAGTAACAAATGTATTTTGTCTTCAAAGAGTGAATATTTCAGGGAAGGAACAAATCTCTTCTTCGCCAAGTTCGACGACGACGCGCTCTTTTCGCGCGTCAAATACTTGAAGACGATGCTCTTTTCATAAATGATCCGGCGCACGAAAAGTTTATTTTAGCGGGGCATACATAAATATTTGAGGTACGGGGTCTCCTTTTTCGCCGGGAGACCCTCGGGAGATTAAAGTTAATCCTGCGACGTGAAACAAGTCCGCCTCCTCCTCGCCCGCTCCGATCGCCTCTCTGTTCTCTGTGTGTCGGAATTAAAGTTTCTTTTCTGTTGTGGTCTCTTTCGCGAGAGGAGTTTCCTCGGGAAAATTGCTGCGACGCCACCACTGTGAATCGGCGCGGCGAGACGGTCGCAAACATCCGCGGACATGATCGAGACGGCGGATGATCACGATCGCCAAGTTACGATCGACGTATCGTATCGGGTTTAGTGCCTTGTGTATACGCGCATACACACTCTCTTTCTCTCTGAGAATGTTCTCGGAAGAAGTTATCGGAGAAACGGTGGGATAATTCCATCAAAAAACGATAAATTTCGATTATATTGCCGCTTCCATGCGGCGCGGCGATGATGTAATAGCGGAACTTTAAATGGAGTTAAGACGGGCGAGTCGGCGATGTTGACGCCTCACGACGACGATATAACGGTACAATTGTCCGTAATAATTTAACGTACTTGCAGAGAATCATCGGCGATGAATTGGATCGCAAAATGGTCCGAGTGGACGTGGGCAGACGGTCGTCCAGCGTCTAGTATATATATAGGTAAAGACGAGTCGGACGTCGGACGGACGGCTGACGCGTCAAGCGGTATTCTACTGTCAATCTTTTCCTGGCGAGCTTAGGCATTGCCAGAACAAATAAAACGTTCGCATAAATGTACATGCTTTTTAGCTAGATATATCGAATCTATTATCGATCTTGATAAATCTGCCGCGCCACTTAAAGACTGACTTTCTCCGTAACGCCGAAGACATTATATCGGTTAACGCATTAATGCACCTCGTGCTTCAGCAACCCCCTTTGCCTTTCCGCATACGCGTCCGCGTCGCGGGCGGAATGAATTCCTGCAATAAATTACTGCAAAACGCACGTCGGTCCCTCCTCGCTCCCCCCCTCCTCGGCTCATGAATAACGCGGCAAAAGATAGCCTTCGTCTGAGGGCTAATCTCGCGGCGGTTTCGCTGCCGTTGCTGGAAAACGACACACACGGAACTCGCGACGATGCAACGGCGCGGCGCAGCAGCGTAACCAACATTCAGGTCACTCTCGTCCGCCCCGCGTCTCCCCCCCTTCCGCCCTTTCCGCTCCTGTCCGCGGAGGAACTTCAAAGGATCGATCTTGATTACCTTGCTCTGCTGACGGCGTTCGCCCCGGAATAATAAATTGCTCTATCTCCGCCTCTACGTGCTGACATTAATAAATAATTGACAATTAATAATGAGAGAAGAGAATGCGTCAATTATCGGAGTAAATTAAAAAAATAATTTTTTTTTTCAAGATGAGACGTGTGATATACGACATTTATGCGATGTATAATTGTATGTAGATTTTAATTTTCAATGTTGTCTCGATTGAAAATCGCGTCTCTACTCCCCGCGTCGGAGACCGTTAGCTACGCCACTGGTGCACCGGATATAAACGTGCCTGAGGGGTAAAATTAATGCACCCATGTCGCTCTGGCCCCTTCGGTTGCCAGGGAAATCAACCGTATATCGCGGAGACGATCCGCCACTCCGTCGAGATTTCGTTAACTGCCCCCGATGCCGCGGGACATGGAATCCGCGGATCTGCGGAGCTGTGATTTTCTTTCTCTCGAGATCAGAAATGACGGCTGATTGAATTTATCTCGAAAAGGAATAGCTCTTATTTGTGTAATAATGAAAAAGAGAAAGAGAGGGAGTTTATATATAAAGTGTACAGCTATAACATTTTGTCTCTGTGGGGAGCAAATAGGTAGAAACGTGGATCGCGGAGAAGATTGCGCATCTATATACGGTTCCAAATTGACGAGCATCTTATAAATTTATTTTTACCCCTCATTCTGTCTCTCGCGGGTGAGAGAGAATTTTTCGAGAAGCATGTTTCGCGTGTCTTCAAGTAAACCTCCATCCTGAAATAATGTGCACACGTGCTCGCATACAATGGATACGCTAATTTCGCTTTACAATGGAGTTCACGACATCGTATGAATCATTGCGCGGCGACAAAACCACGTTGTTGCAATAGTTTCGCGATAGCGCGTCGAGTGTCTCGCGTCAAAATTCAGCGCCGCAATACGAATAGAACGTCAAGGATCTGTTGAAGAATGAGTTATCGGAGTTATATCTCCGATAAGCAACAAAACTAAGCTCGTTAGTGTAATCTTGCAAAAATTGGATTTTTGGTATCTCAAAGATTTAACTGTCGTTGACTATTCTAACAACAATGCCTCTTCAACCCAAATAAAAGATGTGTCGTTAATTATTATTATTAGACAGAAATGAAAGAAAAGCGTAGTAAAATCATATTAATATAAAATAAATTTAAAAAATCGCGTCTGAATAAATTAGAAAAAATGCAAACGTGTAAGATCGGCGATTTTGATTACAATTATCTCTCGCTATAGATCGACTGATAACGAAAATTGACGGGAAAAATATGTAATTCTCCAACGTAGATTGAGGATAAACGATCTTTAAAGCGCTAATAATCGGTTCTCGTCCCCGCGGATGGCGAAACGCCAGATCGGAGTAAGCCAATCGAGAGACGCGGTCCCTTCGAGAGAGCGTCTTGCAGAAGTAAATCCGGCGGCAACCGAGAAAATCGAATTTTCCGCACGACATGATGTTCCGCCGAGGATCGAAGCGGAAGTTCTGCTGCCTCAAGGTCGCCATGTGCAGACCGATTTATTTTCCGGTTTAGCGGTGAAGCAAAAGGGAAGGTAGACGGATCCTTTAGCGTGCGTTTCGGGGCGGACGAGAGTGCAAGGTACATCATTTGTAAGGACTCCCACGGTGATCGATTCGCCGTACTTGTTCGGGCTTCGAGAGCACCGTCGTATCGGGCTCCTTTTAAGATATCGATAGCAAGGAAATTCAAGACGTGCGTTTTTCAGCACTGATCTGCCGAAAAATCGAGAGACGATCCTGTAGCGGCGAATGTCAAATGAGTTTTCCTGCGTGGAGTATTTTTTAAAAAGTTACAAATAATATAAAAATAAATCGAAGAAGGAAGATAATTATGTGTCTTTGGCGGATTAAATCGTAGGTATATAACTATCCGAGAAAACTTTATCACGATTAATTTCAAGCGGCGTTTAAAATAAAAACCGGTGATAAGGAATACACAAGGTTTACACAAAGAATTCGACTAGGACTGAGGAACTTTGTGAAGGAACTTGCTCGCGGGCGATTTCTAAAACACCCCGTGAATAAACGTTCCGTCAATTTGTTGTAATAATATAATTAATTTATTGCAATTGCAAGTAGAATAGCAATGGAAATTGCTTTTGCGCGCTGAGTCAACTATAATTAAGGATGTCTACTCTGCGAAGGGTGTACTGAGAAAAGATGACGGGAAGTACTAACAACGAGATGGGCCAGGGGGTGACCTCGGGAGTTCGAAGCGACGGCGGGAAGCACACGGTTCACTGGTTCCGTAAGGGACTCCGGCTGCACGACAACCCCTCGTTGAGGGAGGGTCTCGCGGGGGCGTCCACTTTCCGGTGCGTCTTCGTCCTGGACCCCTGGTTCGCCGGAAGTACCAACATTGGCATCAATAAATGGAGGTGAGCGACCGCGATGACCCGTGGGATCGCGGAAACGTGATCGATACGCGTCGGGTCTGAAAGTGGAATAACTCAACGGGGCGCATTGGCGCCGGTCTTTTGCATCGTTGTTAATACAGCGGATAAAATTCGGTTTTTTTTCCTATAAATTTTTGCTCCATTTTATTTTATTATTTTACTTGGACCGGTTTCAAAAAAATTGGTAACTAAAAATTATACACTTTATGGCAATCCTCGGAAAATTCTACCCCTATTTCATATATAATTCTTTAAGATTCGATCCATTAACAAATGAGTAGTTCACGGACAGACAGACAGACAAAAAGTCGAGTTTTATATTACAGTGTGATTTTACTTTTCCTCTGCTATTTCTCGGTTTTCCAAATTTTGTTGTAAATAAACAATGGTCGTTTAGCGCGTCGTCGCGAATGATCGCGATAAATCAAGCTCGTCTTTTCGCGTATTAGGTTTAGATGATATTACGACGACGGTAGAGAGTTACGACTATTTAATTCGTCGATAATGGCGAGTCGATACTGTTCCACAAACGGCGCCCCGTAGATCTTTGTTGCATCCGCGTAATCTCGATGCATTTACTGCGACAGACATTCGAGCGCGGCTTTCCAGTCGTCGATCATTTGTCATGTTGATTAAGCGTTATGTAACCGTTTCCTAAGCGATCGCTTAGAGCTTAGATGTTGTCGATAATCCTACTGAATCACGGTTGACTTAGCAAGACATTAGCGGCGACGTGGACTAAAAATGAGTCAAACGGCAAACGGCAAATGTTGACGCGCGCATTCGTATATTGCGTTGCTTTTAATGATAAAAAAGTTACTTCTTACTACAAAAGCGCTAAATTCAATCGCAGAGGAGATATTTAACAAAGTTATAGTTTTCCATCTTCTGCAATTTTACGCGCACGACAATTTTTTTATTATACTATTGTGAAAAGGTCAATTGAAAATTGTATTTTAATTTCCATCTTGTTGATAGAAATTATAATTATATTGTAATCCATATTTTTAGAATCTATATGTATATATTTATTTTTACGTTGTCTAAAAAATTATTTAATGATTTTCTGCGACCGCTGATCGATTTGCTTTACGTACGATCCGACAGATTCCTGCTGCAATGTTTAGAAGATCTGGACTGTTCTCTGAGGAAACTAAATTCCCGGCTGTTCGTGATCCGGGGACAGCCGGCCGACGCGCTTCCCAAGCTCTTCAAAGAATGGGGCACGACAAACCTGACTTTCGAGGAGGATCCGGAGCCGTTTGGCCGCGTACGAGATCACAATATCTCGGCCCTCTGTAAGGAGCTCGGTATCTCGGTGGTCCAGAGAGTTTCGCACACTCTTTACAGATTAGATGAGTGAGTTCAAAACTTTTCAATAGCGATTTAAGGCTCATTGTATTAATAATATGATTTAACGATGTGAACTTAACACTGGCAAAGCAATCAAAATGACTGGTTAGACAAAATTTTCAAATTTATAACGGTGCATTTTCCGAGATTTTCTGATTTCTGTTGCAATATGTAAATAATTAAATTGGTCAATTTACTTTTCCCTTTCATCCCTTTTTTCAAAGATGTACAATAGTATATTTAAATAGCATAAATAGTATAATAAGTAATAATTATCGATAGTGAATGATTAATTTTGTGTTGATAGATTATGCAAATTTATTTAATCAGAATATAGCTCGTAATTAAATCTACAGAATTGCAATTAAAGTTCGACTTCGTAATTATAATTCTGAAATTATTTTTAACGAGACATTCATTAGGAGAAAAAAGCAGAAATATAGGTATATCTTTTAAGAGCTAAAGTTAGTTAGTTACACGTGTGTCCGAGTGTTTAAAATGGAACCTTAGCGTACACCCGTTAGGAGTAAATATTACGTTGCAACTTTCGCCATTGTTCTCGCAAGCCATTTCGCGACTCCACCGTTCTCGTCGTCCGGCGTTTCAGGATCATAGAGAGAAATGGTGGGAAACCGCCGTTGACCTATCATCAATTTCAAAACGTCGTCGCCGGCATGGACCCGCCAGAACCGCCGGTACCGACGGTGACTGCCGCCTGCATCGGCAGCGCCTATACACCCCTGAAGGACGACCACGACGACCATTACGGAGTACCCACCCTCGAGGAACTCGGTGAGGAAAGATCGATTTTTCTCCGAGCAAGTTTCAACGTTTCAGAGTTACGAGTTTGTCATCCCGTGAAACAGGACGTAACAAATCGTCAAAATAATAACTCATTAATTGCGAATCGTTACGAAACAGAGACTCTCAGAATGTCGGAATAACGGCGGCTTTTTTTTTCATGAACTTTGAGTTCAGGAAAAATCGACTCGACCGATTATCAAAATGAAGGGCAGAGACTGCCAATCCCTCAGTACAAACTAGATATAACTGGAACACTCGGCCGGGACGTTGTTTCGCGGTGATATATCAGGTAATAACGAGATGTGCATTTCGAATAGAATATCCCGGGCCGGGCAACTGGCGGGGATTAAGCGCGAGTCCGTTTCGCGCTTTGCCATGGAGAATTCATTCGCGGCAGATTAGTCGATGCAGCATTAATGCGCTGTCCGTATGAGGGAGCAATCGGGTATTATTTCACATAAGGTAATTCATCCTGCGCCGACAGCGCGTCGTAATCCGTAACCGTTCAAACCGTATTACGTACTCCGCATCACTCGCGGCGAAATACGAGGTGATCCGATCGATTATTAATTACCTCGGCTGGATTGTTCTTATTATTAAGCGTCAGGCGTCTTAAAGTCTCCTCCGGCGCGGCGCAATAGCCCGTTTTACCGTTGACACGTATAGCTCCACGGTATATAGGAGTCAGTAACCCTCACTTTCAAATGTCGTACGTTATTCCGTCATTTCGCGTCTTTTCATTGTTATCAAATGTCAGCGCGTATCCCGAAGGCTTTCAGGCCTTTTTCTCCTGCAATTCTCTGCAATGCCGAAGGGATGAGGAAACAAGACCTTCGAATAACTTTGTGCTGTACGAAATGTCTACCTACGACTCTTTAATTTCAGTGACAGATGCCTCGGTCGAGTCAACTTTTTCTTAAATAAAACTGTCGAGGCACATTATTCGAGCGCAAAACAATCGAAAACACGCTACTTTTTGCGCAATAAGCTTCTGCGACACAATTGAATAGCAATTTATTGTATACGATCAAATTTTTATTTTCAGAATTTTCATATATTAGTTTAAAAAGCTCTAGGAGATTATTCGTCGAGATATTTAATATTATAAAATGAATTTTAATTAGTAACTCGAAATTTTACTAAATATAAAGAGCCAAAATAAAATTTTCTTTAATTTGAATGTCAAAATTGGGGTATTTTGATATCGAATTAGGAATGTGTGGACGTCAATTTCGCTGAATTTTCGTCAATTTCCGAAATCTATTCGGAAAAATGAAGCTAATATAAGGTACCGAGTGAAATCGTGTTCCCAACTCGCAGAAAAATTGGGGAATACGACTTTATCTCTGTACGATTTCCCGGTTTTTATGGTTATAGGCTTCGACACGGAAAATCTGTTGCCGCCGATGTGGGTTGGCGGCGAGAGCGAGGCCCTGGCTAGGCTCGAACGTCACCTCGAGAGGAAGGCATGGGTGGCGAGTTTCGGCAGGCCGAAGATGACGCCGCAATCCTTATTACCGAGTCAGACCGGGCTCTCGCCATATCTGCGATTCGGCTGTCTCAGTACGCGGCTGTTTTACTATCAGCTCACCGATTTGTACAAAAAGGTACGAGGCAGGAGCGAAACGATAATGCGAGATGTATTTATCGCGAAATATATCAGCAACTTTTCCCGGGAAAGCCGCTCGCGAGCTTCTATTCTTCTCCGCGTCTCTCTTTCGTCCCGAAACTTCGCGATAATAATTAAACAAAACTTCGGGGACGCGTTAATTGCGCCGCGAGATTTTTATTTCTACAAGAAATCGCGTAAAAGCTGTTCCGCGCGAGAAGTTGGTAATAGTTATGAGGGAATAATGCTCTCGTTGTTTTTCAGCGAGTATTATATTAACGAGAGACTTTTTATTCCGTTCCTGCCTATTTTTTACTCTTAAAGCGACGATGTTATTTTTTTATCACTTTATCAAGCGAATACTTCGTCTTTAAACAATTTTGGAAGTGAATAACTAGTTTTCGGCTTTCCCTATATCAACGATGATGTTTCAGATAAAGAAAGCGGTGCCGCCGCTGTCGTTGCACGGCCAGCTTCTCTGGCGCGAATTCTTTTACTGCGCCGCGACGAAGAATCCCAATTTCGATCGGATGCAGGGCAATCCGATTTGCGTGCAGATACCATGGGACAAGAACGTGGAGGCGCTCGCAAAGTGGGCGAACGTGAGTGATATTTTGCGCGATCGCAAACGGAGTCTGCAAGCGTAACTTTTGCTTCGCAATTTTGCTCGCACAGCGTGACCAAGTAAAAGATTCTGACAGTATAAAAAAATGTTTTAATAATTACGTTGATTTTCATGAATTCACGGAACTATTAGTTATACAAAGAAGTATTTAATAAACTGAAAATAGCTGTTGTATCAGAGAGACGATACAAAAATTGGATTGAAAAATCCTAAAGACCTTCAAGCGAACTCTGGGAAAAAAAAGACGATTAAGCCACCTACTTTGGGGCCCACAATTAGTAATCAAATTATTTGAATATTGTAACCCTAATTTTATGTGTTTGGACTAGAAATAACACCGCGTAACTAAAAATCGTAATTAGCTATTCTATCTATTTCAAAGATTTTCAAGTTATACTATAGTCAATTCTCTCAATTAGTTCTGTCGATATTCAGTTACGCAAAGATAATTTTCACTTAAGGGGCACTAACCAAAATGTTAAGGCTCTTAACTGTGGGTCAAACCGGTGAAAATTTTTCCCAGAGAAGAGAGTCATCTTGTGTAATGCAGTCTTTTGTATTTATTATCGCAGCAGAGCGAAATTGCGAGTTGCAGACAATTTCGAAGATTTTACCGTACTTAACTTTCCTTTTGCGTCCCAGGGTCAGACGGGATTTCCGTGGATTGATGCGATCATGACGCAGCTGCGGGAAGAGGGTTGGATACATCACCTGGCCAGACACGCGGTGGCTTGCTTCTTGACCAGGGGCGACCTTTGGATTTCATGGGAAGAAGGAATGAAGGTAAAATGTCACGGCATGCCTAGCATTTCAATCGACACGCGTTGCCCGTTGAATTACTCTCTCTCTCTCTCTCTATCTCTCTTTTTATCCATTTGTTCTTATCATTAATATACAGACTTCGTAAGAATATTTCTTGTTGCGAGATTTTCTTTTCCCGGAAATACGTGCGGTGCATCCGTTAATATAATATCCAGTTAAAAAAATAAGCAAATAAACTGGTGGCTCTACAAAGCGTATAACTAACAATAAGTCGTAGCTTGTTTCACTCGCTGGAGTAGAAAATAAAATTAGTGAGATGCCTGTTTAATTACGTGTGAAAAGCGTCAAGCGGATAAATACTAATGTTAAATAATCCCGAAGTTATGTTTGCTAACTTATTAACTATTTTACTATCTAATGTCTTTCTTTGAGGTGTTCGACGAGCTTCTCTTAGACGCGGACTGGTCCGTCAATGCCGGCATGTGGATGTGGCTGTCGTGCAGTTCGTTCTTCCAACAGTTTTTCCACTGCTACTGCCCCGTACGCTTCGGCAGGAAAGCTGATCCGAACGGCGATTATATCAAGTAATCGATTAAAAAAGCATTTTTTTAAATTCTTTTTGAAATACAAAAAAAAACGCGAGAGCGACGTATGCGCGAGAAATTCCGGAAAAAATTTCAAACGGGTGCGTTTATCGGCGGTTTTTTTTTCCCCATTGAAATAACGTTTACGCTAACGATCGCGTGCACGATGCTATCGGTGCAGTGATTAACGCTCACGCGACGGCCGGACTAAATGGAAATTTTAATCTTGATTGATCTTAATTTGTAATGTATCAGGCGTTAATCTGAGCGAAGCTAAACTCAGCCGCAAGATAGATGGAACGTTAAACAGTTTAGCTCCATTAGAGCTTAATCGTGCAAAAGATCGCGCGTGAACGAATCGTCGGCGTTGACAGCGTTCGATTATTCACACTATCAATATTTTTGCAGAATAACGTATTCCCTCAACATTTTTACGGAAAACTCAAACAGCGCAATATGTTCTACTTATTTTCTCCGTTTTCTAAACTCTACTCGTTTTCCCGAGTATTTTCATAAATGTTTTATTATACGCGTACGTGTGTTCGTGCATGAGGGATTATTGTCTCTCAGGATAAAATCAATCTTGTTCCGACGATCACAGACGCTACCTGCCGGTGCTGAAGAACTTCCCGACCAGGTACATTCACGAGCCCTGGAACGCGCCGCTCAGTATACAGCACGCCGCCAAGTGCATCATCGGCAAGGAGTACTCGTTGCCGATGGTGAACCACAGCAAGAGCTCGCGCATCAACATCGAGCGGATGAAACAGGTGTACCAGCAGCTGAATAAGTATCGCGGTAACGGTGAGTAAAAATTGTGACCGTTCGACGTCTTAAATTCCGACCGATTGGAACGCGAATCTCTTTTAGCGAAAGTTATTTTAAAGCGATGACTATGATCTAATCGGGATTTTTTTCGCCAGGGACCTCGTTTAAGGGAGAAAACATCGGTGAGTAAACTGATTTCGATTGATAATTAATTAATAGCTCGATTAACTGCATTATAAGATGTTATAGTAACAATATTAATAATGCAATGTGTGATTAATATATGTTTTGTCCAAGGCTTGCTGAACGCATTGCTGGCACCACCGGCGAAGGACAGCGACGAGGAGAAGATGAAGCAGGACTCGTCGAATCGGGATAACGAGCAGAAAATGGAGGCCATCAGCAGCCCCACGCAACAGCAACAGCAACAACAGCAACAGTAGTAGCGACAGTCGGTATAGTGATCTGGCTGATCCGTTAACATGACAATGCTGACATTATTCTTTTTCTACGGATTTTAAAGCGAGTTGAAAAATTCAAATGAATTCTACATCTCCAATAATTTCGATTAATCAGCCCCGAGAAGATCCGGCGTTAATTATGATTGACATGAAACGGTGCCTTTTGTACCTCAATTTTTTCCCAGTATTATCGGGAAATAGCTGCCACATATAGTATAAATTCTGTGAATCATGTCTAATATATATAAATGTTAGATATGTATAAAATTTTTATACTCTTTGCGATCCCATGTGATAATTGTTAAAAGTTAATTGTAAAATCGATATCAGATATTCTGTAAAATACGCAGACCCGCGACAAGAAAGTATTTTTTTAACATTTGCAGAAAAAGTAATAAATGTTTTAGCAGCGAGCGTGTTACTAGAGCGAACCTAATGTTCGCCTAAGATGAAAGATTATCGTTACAACTTGTATATGTATTTTGTCACACAGTTTATATATGCAATCTTTAACAATGCTTCCTGGCGCGTATTGATTAACAACTGTTGTACCCGTTTAGATTTTTTATGGCTGTAAATCACGATTGTAAATAATGAATAAGACGTACGTTTTAAAAGACACAATCTATGTATGTAAATGACGTGTCGAGATGTCACTTACCTTTCTCTCCCCTTTCCCAGTCGAATCCCTCTCGTTGTTTTCCTGAGCGCGCCGCACATCCCCCCGACATAACTTTAGATAACTGAATAATAGCTCTCGGAGTAAGTGACGGAAAACGTAACGGAGACACATCGCCTAAGTAATCGTAGCGCTGTGGAATGAACTTCGGTCGACTTGACAAAATGAACATTTAATGGTCTATCTGTCACACTTTGCGCTTTAATGGCACCTCAATCCGGAGATCCTCGATGCAGCTCGACGGGTATACCGCCTTTCTGCTACAAAAAGTTGATAACACGGTTTGTCACGGCTATTGTATATCACTATTGCCCACGCGCTTAAACACTAGACTGAAGCTCGATGCACGCTCTCTCTCTCTCTCTCTCTTTCTCTCGTTTTCGCTCTCTCTCTTTCTCTCTCGTCTCTCTCGTCGTTTCGAGACTCGCCTAATTGAGACGTTCACGACTCCGTCACGCGACGGTGCGCTCTTCCGTTTACAAACGGGCACGGTACAACGCATCGCGCGTTCTATAACTCGCGGCTTCGTTATATTCATATATATTGTAGAAGGGAAAACAAAAAACAAAACAAAAAAAAATGAATATACAATAATGAAATACACGGGATTCGTATACGCACACGCAATATGCATTGCAATTATGCATATATATGTGTTTGCCGGGATGCGCGTATACCGTCTCTCTCTCTCCCTTTTGTCTCGACGCCGGCGGACAGAACTCATGCCACACAGTCGGTTTTTCTTTATTTTTTTTTCATGTCAACAAATGATATATTTTTAGTGCCTATAGTACTTATGGTTTTACAGTACATTTCTCATTAGATTTAAACAATTACAAATGAACATTTTCAACACTCAAAAACGGAACTAATGTTTCTCACACATTATTTCTTTCTCTCTCTCTCTCTCTCTCTCGCTTTCATTCTTCACACGCACTCGCACTTTCACTTCTTTCCCATTCTCTCTTTCATTCTCTCGGCTCCCTTTCTTTCTCTCGCGCACTCTTTCTTCGTTAACTTATTTTTTGTGTCACGTGTGTGCCTTACAAACGCTTATATATTTGGTTTTATGTCCTCCTTGCGATAAAAGATCAAAGATTTTTTTTCTTCTCTGCGAGCGACTCGTGGTCGCAGTAATAAATCTCCATCTCTCTAATAATCGGGACAATATTTAATTATAACCGTTAATAATAATTAATCGTGTTATTTATTCGTCATAGTAACATCATTGTCACGGCGTTTCGCACCCAAAATTATTTTTATCTATACACATTACAACGCCGTTATTTTTTTTTTTGCTTATGTAAATATCTCTATGTATACCGATGCCGGCTGCGGTCTCCATCTTTTTTCTTTTTTTTACGTTTATTACTTGTCGCTAATTTTACACTCTATCGCCGCGGAACACCGAAAAAATACCAGCGCGTACAATATACCACGAATTTCGGACTCCTGCCCCTTCTTTCTCTCTCTCTCTCTCTCTCTCTCTCTCTCTCTCTCTCTCTCTCCTATCGAGGAAAAGAATAATATTTGTCTCGCCTCGGAAATTCGTAATTCTCGGACGTCGATTACGACGTGTGCGCAAATAACTTCTGTGCGAGGGATTGAGGTCGCGGGACCTGGGAATCCGAGGTTAAGAAACGTATCGAAAGCGTCCATATATCCATCGTCCGTTAACGATCTATTCAGATCCTTGGACTTTGAAATATCGTAATACGAAGATCCAATAAGGATCTCACGGATCCAAAATTTTCAGGATTTAGGCATATATATGTATGTATTTTTTTAAGAACCTCGGGGAAGAGATCCTAAAATCGGATCTCGATACGATAATTAATTTCTATCGTACTTCGAGATTTCAGAATCCAAGGATTTAAGGACCCAAAGACTCAAGTATCCAAATATTCGGAAACGCGACTCGAGAACGCAAGGATCAACGATTCTCGGGATTCAAGAATCCGAAGATCCGAGAGTTCAATGCTATTTCCCGAACCCGAGGATTCACAGAATTTGTGGAACTGCAGGATCGATGCGGATCGGGTATCGGAATTCAATTCGCAAGTGATAGGCATGGGATACCTCCCCTCTCGTTTTCTTCATCTCTCTTTCTCTCTTTTTTAAATATGGTATTAGATAAACGTACGCACATCTGCACTTCTCTAATTAATTCCTCGTTATTACAACAAACTACGCGCAGAGCTCGGGGGCGTCGACGATCGGGCACCGGAACAAATCGATTTGTTCACCGCACAACGTTATATCGCGGCGAGAGTGCGGACCGATTGCGACGGATCCAGCATCCCATTTAGAATATGCACATTTAGGACGAAACCCTCGTTTGGACCGGCGCGCCCGTCGCTTGCGGTTCTGTACAACCCTTTATATACTCGTTCTCTCTCGCTCGAGACTAGTAATTAGTGATAACAACTATATCAGTTCTAATCGATTATTAATTTCCATAGTTTTATCGCCAACTACCGCGCTACTTATTTCTCTCTCTCTCTCGGATTGCGTGCGCCAATTAACATCGTTCAGAGTGAATTCCCAGAATTTTCGTCTTTAGTTCAAGCCAAACGGTTTCCGAGAAGCGTCGCGCGAATCCGGACGAGGGCCGAAGAGAGAAAAATCCTCCTCTTTCTCTACACGCGCACATACGTCGCGCGGAAGTGGTGCCCCGATCGTCGACGATCGCCGGTTCGGCTAACAATATCCTTACGGCCCTTACGCGATCAGGACGCACGTTAAAAAGGACGACGACGACGATTCACTACAAATTCTTCGTCCTCAATTCACGATTAGAGATGCTCTCGCGCCAATCTCGCACTACGCATTGAAACTATCGACAGTATTTTGCCTTCTCCCCGCGCCGTGTCGCCGACACTGTCGTGGACACTCGTCGTGAGAGATTCATAAGAGTACGATCGCGGATATAGCGGTCCGCGATATTAGATCGGGGAAGGAGAAGAAGGGCGCAGAACGCGAGAGAGGTTCAACTCGTTTCTCGCCTCTCCTCGCTCAGGATTCTCCGCGGAAAATCCTAGCAGATTTTTGCAAGACCCAGAGAGCCACGAAGCGTTCTGTAAACTCGAATCTAAATGTGAATTCACGGAAGAAAGGGTGGAAAAGTTATTGACTCAAATTATATTCATCATTTCGGTATTAAATGCAGTAAATACGAAAGAGATAATTTTTCTAGGAAGATATTCTTCTAGGAAAAGTCTTTCGAAAATAATTTCGCGCGGTGAAATCGCCATTTAATACAGAAACGATTGAACGGGTGTTCGTTTCGCTGGTCACGCGTTTCGTTAGCTTTGCCAATCGCGTTATTTTTTCAGCGCACATAAAGCAGTCGGCGCTTTTAATATTCGACACTTCGATCGAAACATTTGCAAAATCGGAATATATTCCGCAACAACGAGATATTTCGCGCAGGATAAGCGCTCATCGATTTTCCGAGTCAACATTTGCAACTGTCAAGTGCTCCAAGCGACAATTAATCAATTATCCAATCCGCGAGCACATCGAGATTGTTAATAAATCAATCGTATTTAGCCAATAAAAAAAAATCCACCGAAATCTACCGTGACTTGATGAGCGGTAATACTGATAAATTAGTCGCGTTTATACAAAAATTAATGCAAACCTCGAAGATCTTAGCTTCTCTCGAAATTTCGTCTCGCTACGCTCTTCGCTACTCGACTGCCGTTACTTGAAAAATAAACGTCAGCGCCTTTCTTCGCCAATATTATCGTTTCGCGACAGCACGTGCGTCATTAATCATTTCAGATATTTCTCGAGCGATCAGCTTCTCCGTTGATCGAGCATCATTCAGCCAAGATATCGGTAGCTAGCCCGGTGCCAACAAATCAGGTTACGGAGACTCGGGTTTCAGAGTGGCCGATATTGCCCGGTATCGCTGTTCCGGCTAGCCGTTCACGGAGAATTCTCCGGAGAAAATTTCCCGTTCGTGAAACCGCAGCGATAATGTCGTGCCGCGCCGCACGAGGCGAATACACGACGAGTATAGCCACGCGAATTGGCTCGTTATAGGCCAAGGAGGCACACACCGGTCGTCCGAGCTCTATGGCGCCGTGTATACGCCTCATTTACCCGCCGTCGACGTGACTTCCGGCGAGATTCAATGGCCGTGGCGAAGTGTCACGACGGCCCGTTTCCGCACGACGGCCTTATCGCTCTTTGCGGAAAATCGTCGTGTTATACACCGGAGCGCCCGCGCCGATGTGTATATAACGAGCGTAAATCAGAATATTCTACTCTCGCGAAGGAGGACGGCAAAAAGTGGATGTGCTGCCAATATATTATCCAATTAGAATCTTTAATCTCTCATCTGTTCTTAATTCGCGGTAGTTAAAACTCCCGTTCTCGAAATGTGCTCGCAAAGTCTCGGCCGTCGTTTAAATTTCTCGTTTAAAGAAAGAACGAGCGTCCCGAGTTAATCCCGCGTGTATTATACCCGCGTCGTCGACGTCGAAAAAGAGTGTCAACGCCGCGGTGTTTTAGCTTTTCAAAGGGTCGCCGGGCTTGATCTTGCCAAACGGAGTGCGAAGTGCCTTTTATCTCCGTCAATATTATCTCAATGCAACCCGGTCAAAGATGTCCTTTCGGTCTTTCCTCAAAGTCCGATCTTCCGACGGCCGTATTTACACGAGATATATGCGTGTGGAAAGCGGCGCGATTTAACTCCGTTTTCTAATTCGCGTGTGTAATGTAATCTTCTTAGGATGCGCTCTTTCGATAATCTGGGCGAATTAACGGGCGAACGAGGGAGAAAAAAAGTCGAACCGCGCGCACATCCCGGGAACTCGTTTGGGAGTTTTCATTTTCCTGTCGTCTGATGTCGTTCAATTCGAGAGTGTCCCATCGAATTTCCACTTCTCCTCTCTCCCTTTCAACCCAATTGTGTAACGGGGACTGCGTTGAA